ATAATAAAAATGCAAGTTTAGAAAAAAGAAATTGCAAAATCCAACCATGAAAAACATTTACTAAACAGTCTTACCAAATAAGGAGTCTTTCACTTTGAATAAAATTTTGGTATAACCTCTGTGTGTGTGTGTGTGTGTGTGTGTGTGTGTGTGTGGTATGTGTGTCTGTTTCTCTGTGTGTTTGTGTAAACTGCAAGACTGAAAATCATCACTCCTTGGTGATACTCAAAAATAATCTCTAAGTTTTTTGCTTTTAAGAAAAACACTTGCTCTTGTATATTGTGAAAGAAAAAGACAATTATATTAAGGTGTTTTTAATTGAGGGGGAAATGTATCATTTACTGTATAATTTGTTTATTTTAGATTATCAATGACTCACCAAAATCAGATTATGCTAATTAATCAAGTTTTATTGATCAGAAGCATATGTCAATATTTCACACAAATGTCCTCAGTGTAATTTTTACAAATCAAAAATTTATCAATTAATTTAAATTTCAGGCAATTAAATGTATTAGCTATACAACAATGAATATGGTACTTTATAAAAGATAGTATGTGGAATTTACACTGAAAAATATATCAAAGGTAAAACAGCAAATATTTCTATTAGACCAAGGAGCGAAGAATAAACTAGAAAGTTCAATACATAAAAGCTTGTAATTGCTTCAAATACACTTAGTAATTCTGCTGATTTAGGACTTTTAAAAGCAATTACTTAATTAGGCAATCGTTCAGAGCATCCAAACACTCACACAGACAAAAACAGGGAAACATTAGCATAGCCATCTTCCTCACCTTGAGTGAAAAATCTAAACACATTACAGACACTCAAACTTTCTGGATCTGTCCCTATAAATAAAACAAGTGACAGCCTGAAGCTCGGGGGGTGGGAGGGAATAATTTACCTATAATGAAGTTGCTCATTTATGTTTGCAGGTGGTTTATATTTTAAACTATCTTAGAAATGCCAAGTAACAACATAGATTGTCTCTATAAATCCTTGGAAACATTACTTCTTTTCTTCCTTCTGGTTATTCTCCTTTTTATCTAAAAGTAATTAAAGAAATTTCTGTTCTCTAGTATAACTGTCAAACATCCCTACCCTGAAAAAGGTGTTCAAAGTTCCTGCCTAACATGAATGAAAACAACAATAAATAAGATCGTCTATTTATGGAGGGAAAAATAACCAGTGCTGGAAACTCAGCTGCAAAAGTCTGAAATATAACTAAAGAAGAAAAAAAATTATGTTTTCACCAGAAGATATCAGATAGTTTTAAGAATCTTGCTGTTTGGGTAGCATCAGGAAAAAGGAAAATACTGTTCTCAAAAAAAAAAAAAAAAAAAAAAAGATGTTTCTTGAGATAATTCCAAAGTGATTCTATAAGCTATGTTTTCAGGAGAAGAAAAAAACAAGTCAACTTACACATACAGCTTCCAAACAGAAGTCTTATCCTCGTCCAGGAAAACAACAATGACTTTCTATTACCCTGCTATGATTCTTTCATTTGAGACATGATCAATTAGCAAGTAGTATACTTCTCAAAACTCCACTGTACTCTTTCCTGCTTGATGATAACCCCACATGAAATAACAAGCAGCCACCAGCAGTTTAAGTATCCAAAAAGTCTTTCAATGAAAAAACACTTCTTTAGCTTTGCCTCCAAAAAATGAAGCAGGCTGGTTTTAACTGCTTTCACAAAATGATTGAAAAAAGAGAGAGAGAGAGAGAGAGAGAGAGAACCAGTTGCTTTCTTAACAATATCTTTTAAATTTTGAATAATGCACCCAACAAATTGAGTATTCAAGAATACATGGCATGTTACATGATACCTCTATTTTTAAACTGAAACGCCAAAGGATTTGTGAGTCAACCTACTTTATACTGATGACCATCCAGATGCACAATTAATAAACAATAGAGAGAATGTGTGCAAGAATGTCTGAGGACACTGTTTTAATAGAAAATGTTCCTTTCCTAAATAAGAGATAATTTGTGACAAAATATAATGAAGATAGGAAATGGGAATAAAGGAGTAAAAAAAGTAAAGAGGAAAACCCCAAAATTTGAATGAATGAAAAAGTCTTCATATTCCTCCCAAACACTTTCAAAATAATACTCCTTTTAAATCATCTATTTTCAAAATACCCATGTGAACCAAGAGGCCTGCCATAACTGAATGCATTATGAATGCACATTTTAACAATCAGCAATTGATAAAGATTAAGATTTCCCCTCCAGTCTTTCAGCTGTTATGTCCAGAAAACTTCACACACAATACAATACTAATAAATAGATCTTGTTGGTTCCAGGAAACATTTTTTTTAAATCTATACTGGTCAAAATATCCTTGCTTTTTTTCTGTTGTATTAAATTTAGGATCAAAAACATCAAAGCAGCTTCCACCTCGGACCTAACTTTTAGAGGATCAATGTGACAAGGCAGTCCCTGATAGATGTTTCTCTTGATAAACGACTCGTTCAAAAGAGACATTGTAGCTTTCATTTCCTGACCACAACACACTTTTAATTTGCAACAGCAGAGCTGCCAGAGTGTGAGCACTTGCCCACTTTCCAGCCTTCTATGGTTGTAGATCTGGTTCCTTTAGGCCACACATTTGAGAGAGACAAACAAAATCTAAAAATAATGAGAGTACTGTCATAAGAAAATCAGAGCCACTAATGCCACTTTATACATATATGCAAGTGTCACTTTCTATGTGTATACGTAACTTTCTCCTCCAGAATTCTAGTGTAGGATAACAAGGCTCCTAAGTGAATATCATTTGCACATCAGGCATTAAAACACATAGGGAAATAAATTATGCGACTATTATTTAATAGGAAGCAGAGACTTGGGTGGGGGCAATTTACATACTTCAATCTGCCGTTAAATGTCATGAATTATATGATTACCTACGCCAATGTGTTTTTTACGTATTATTACAATGATTATTATTACTACTACCCCAGAAATCACATTTAAATATCAATACGGTGAACAGTCCAACCATCCAATTTCTGCTCTCAGCACATTGTCCGAGCTCCGATTTAAAATTTATAAATGTAATATCCTCCTCATCACAGGCAGCAGCCCAATCTGCTCTGAATATATATTACAGCTTTAACATCACAGAGGGAAATCGCCCATCTGGCAATCCCATTCGCTCCAACAGCTCCGGGGGAAAAAAAAGCTGTGCTCTCTCCTCCTTAAAACATTTCTCAGGGCAAATTATGTGCATCTAAAATAAACAGTCTTCTTATTGATCGTTTCAAAGTCAACAAGTTCCAAATGCAAAATTCAATCAAATCCTTCCTATCGTGTAAGAGTGGGGTATGTTTAGCTCAACAGTCACCAGAGTCCAACCAGAAGTATATGCCGCGCATCGGGTCTTGCAGTCTCTTTCCTCGTATTCACATTAGTGTTGTGAGAGAGAGCAGTGACCACGGCCACACTGCAGACCCCTGGCAGCTCTGCCCCACTGTTATTTCTTTCTCTAATACTCTCTTTTCCCTTCCAGCTCTTTTCAGGAGGAATTCATGGTAGTGGAGTAAAGGTAACAACAACAAAAAAATCCATTTAAAGTATACATAGCCTTTGCTTACGCAAAATACTTTAACATCTTTTTATTGTTGTTCCCTCTTAGTCTTAATTGAATATCACAAAGTGTACACAGGGCATGGTCACAAGAGCTATTGAAAACCCCCTCTCACTCCATTTAACTGACTTTTTTTTTTTTCTGTAAAGAAAGAGGAAGGAGCGATTTCAAACGAAGTCAATTTCAGTGCCTGATTATTTAATTCTGTCACAGGTTAAAAGTAAAAAGCGCTGACAGGAAGACAAGTGAATGGCAAGGGAGAAAAACTACCACTCTTCTTCAAAAGACATTAAGGACTTTAAGCAATCAAAATATGCATTCTATTTTTATGTAAAAGATACCTCTTCACTTGCTTACCAAAAAAAAAAAAAGGAGACAAACCAACACTCACTCATAAGATCTGATTACTCCACAAAGTACAATCATTGAGAGAGTAGAATAGTCCAATTTTAATAATAAATAGATTAAGAAAAACAAAAGCAAAATACTTTAACATCTTTTTATTGTTGTTCCCTCTTAGTCTTAATTGAATATCACAAAGTGTACACAGGGCATGGTCACAAGAGCTATTGAAAACCCCCTCTCACTCCATTTAACTGACTTTTTTTTTTTTTTCTGTAAAGAAAGAGGAAGGAGCGATTTCAAACGAAGTCAATTTCAGTGCCTGATTATTTAATTCTGTCACAGGTTAAAAGTAAAAAGCGCTGACAGGAAGACAAGTGAATGGCAAGGGAGAAAAACTACCACTCTTCTTCAAAAGACATTAAGGACTTTAAGCAATCAAAATATGCATTCTATTTTTATGTAAAAGATACCTCTTCACTTGCTTAACAAAAAAAAAAAAAGGAGACAAACCAACACTCACTCATAAGATCTGATTACTCCACAAAGTACAATCATTGAGAGAGTAGAATAGTCCAATTTTAATAATAAATAGATTAAGAAAAACAAAAGAAATTTTCATTCAGGCCTGTGTGTGTACATACACATATATATATATATACTTTCATTACTTAGCAATCTTTCCCCACACTCCCGCCTTCTCCCCTCTTTCCCCAGCCCTCCCCCCCCAAAAAAAAAACACAGAGTTTAACTAATTTACATACCATTTGACTTCAGTGGTTATATAGTGTATCACTAGTATCATGCAACTTCTGAGATTACAGCTACAACCGGTAAAAGTGGACTCAAGTAATGCATTAATCAACACTGATATATAAACAAGTGATAGAAAAGCAAAAAAGCATGCTGACAGATTAAAATAAACATACACATAAATGAAAAAGAATTACATATCATGAACATCTCCTTCCCAAGCAAAGTCTTCAATGGTTTTATCATGCTATTTAATTTGTCTTTCCTATTTAGATGCAAAGGAAGTAAATTCCAAAACTGACATACCATAAACACTGGTGCTACTGATCATTTCTTGCTGGCAGCACAAAAAGCTGAATTGGATTTCTCACAAGCAGGAATTCCAAAGGTTGCTTTTCATTAAAGCCACTTTTCCTCTCAGCTATCAAATGTCACTGCCTTGAAACGTGGGCCCTTTCGTCAGGTATTCATTTAACCTACATGCATATAATTAAGGGGGAAAGCAACATCAACAAAAAGGGGATCTCAGATCACAGGAGAAGAAAGAAAGGAAAAAAAGCACATGACCAGGAATGCAAGTCCATGTCAATTTCACTCACTCCCATTGAAACTAACAAGAGCTCCGGGGAGGACGGTAATAGGATCAGTGGATTGTATATACCATTAAATTATACATCTTTCTCTCCCGTTCCCTGCCAACAATACGCCCACCACGCTGTACCCCTCCAAGATGATGTGCTTACATTTTTCTGCAACCGATCTTCTGACATTTTGTCGTTCCCCTAGCCACGAGATTGTAATTTAACCTCAACTTTTTGTGTGTGTGCACGATTCTTATTTACACTTCTTATTTACTTAGAAGTTAGTTCCCGAAGAAAGTCTAGCCCCACCCTATGGCTCCGCTTCTTATTTTTTATTTTTGAAGTAAAAAGATAGTAATAACTAAGCCCAATATAGCGAAAGACGAGATTCTTGCAATCGCGAACTCTTAATCCCATACTATTGTTACAACGATTAAGCAGCAGAAATATGCATTATAATGTTTCAGGGCTACTTTGTACAGAGAAATTAGATAGCAGGTTGGCGTTCAGAATAGAGACGAGTACAAATTATATTTAGCGTTTACGGCAAAACTCGAAGATCTCTTTTTATTACAGGTCTTAGATCTATTTATATTCTTTTAAAATAAAACAAAAACAAATTTAAACAGATGGTGTAAAACTACGAAGCTCCTCTTACCTGAACGCGCGGAGCGAGAACCCGATAGGTTAGCGTAGCATCGATCCGATGTGTTTGCTGATGAATGGAAGCTAGGGTTAAGTGAAGGTGCCTATGATTTGAAATCATTCCAAGTTTTTGAAGGGAAGACGGACTGCAGCCTCTGCCATGTTGGAATTTCAAACCCAAAACAGCTGCTTGGAAGGAGCCAGCATGCCAGAGGCTGGGCGCAGGCGCAGAGCGGAGCCGAGCCAAATTCAAATCACTTTCACACTAAGAGCCAAAGATCAGTTTTCAAAGGAGAGAGGGAGAAAGAGACCGAGGCTGCCGTGAGGGAGAGAAGACGGGAGGCAGTGGCGAGAGGCGGGCAGTGGAGAGAGACGGGCAGCGGGAGGACCGGGAGGGAGAGGGAGAGGCGCACGGAGCCCGCGGAGCTGGAGGGGGAGAGAGGGAGGCGGGAGGCGAGCGGGCGAGCAAGCCAGAGACGCGCCAGAGATTCATGGGCAGGGAGGGCTCAATGGCCGCGCCGCGCCGGCCGGCCGGCCGCTCGGGTCATGTTACACGGCCGGGGCCGCGGCGGCCGCCCAGCCTTGGCGACGCGCTCACGCGGTTCGGAGGGGGCCCCGAGGTCATGATTACGCGCGCGGGGACACGGAGCTCTCGCGGTCCGCACTCTCGGGCGGCCCAGCCTGGGGAAAGGGGGCACTCCTGAGGGGGAAGGGGGCCTTTCTTTCCCACGCGTGACCAGCCGGCCCTGGCGCTCCCCAGCCAGCCTTGGCGAGCCCGGGACAGGGCCGCGCCGCTCCCCGGCCTGCCACCCCCTCCCGGCCGGCTCCGGGCTCTCAACAGCTGCGGCCCGTCCACCCTTACCCCCACCCCCAACGACTCTGAGAGCAGGACAAGATCAGGCCCTGAGAGCCAGGACCACCCTCCCCTGAGCCCCCCAGCACCAGCCAGAAAATGACTTTATCTGCCAAGAAGAGGCAACTTCGTGGGGAAAATCCGCATTAAGCTAGTTCCCCTCCCCCGCCTCCCGGCGAATACATAAAATCCTAAGTGTCTAGGTGTGCGGTCCCCTCTCGCGCTCCCTGGTTCCCCTCCCTACCTCCCCCAGGCGGCTCGGGCAGAGGAAAGCAGCGCCCGGGGGCCCGGTGCGGGCTGCTGGTGCGCTGGCATGGACGTTGGGCTTCTGCTTTCCCAACCCCCCTCCATGGAGCAATCTGGGGACCCAGGAGTGGGAAGAGAGTAGGGCTTTGTGGTGCTGGGAGCTGGGGAAGAATGAAATGTGCAGTTGAGTGTGTTGCTCGCATCCCAGGGAGCAATGCAGTGCTGATTGTCTGTTGCTGAGATAGCCTTTTGTTCGGAACATAAGGTTTAAGAAACACACACACGTTTCCTGGGGTCTCTTGTTAGATGTAAACGTGCTGCATCCAGACGCTTACTATGCAGTGTAAGCTCAGTTGGTTTACTAATCACCCCGCCCCACCCCCAAACAATCAGGATCATTTCAATGGGAACCTCATTCAGACTTCTAGGCTGAGAGTATTGCCTTCAACCTATTTCATTCTAGACTAGCCAACCATCCAACTGAGATAATAAAGCAAACAATAACATTTGATCATGATGTCTACGAGATAATGTGCCCGGCAAAGTTCTTTAGGAATTGTAATGAGAAAGAAAGAGAGTTGGGTAATAATTTCCCTTCGTTTTCATTAAATATGACTTCAATAGATAAATGGTGAGTTTATACTTTGGCCTGGTGGACATCCAATCCGCTACATTTCAACTAAGCAAAGAATGAAAGAGGCGAATTACATATTCCACCAGGAGCCCATCAAGCTGAAAATGTTACCTTTGAAGGTTGGGGCCGAAAATGAACTTGTTTAGGACTGACCCTCATAACAGTGTTCACATTTCACCCAGCTTCTCTGCTGTAGATTTAATAGAGTAAATTGCAGCTCTCCAGATGCTGAAAGGCAGCTCTTAAAAAATACCGAATACCGTATATACTTTGAAATTAATTTCATTCTCCTTTTGTGGTTTTCTTACCTTTGAATGGATGCATTTAGCTAACACAATAAGAAAAATTGTGTTAGTTAAATCGAGGCAGATGGCAGAATTTAAGACAAAATAAATTGATTTAAGATCTTAAATATTTCTAAGGAATGAGATTTCTATTTGGAATGGATTTGACCTTTCTGTGCATTAAAAAGAAAAAAAAAGTAGCTTCAAAATAAAACAAGAACTTTATGGTGATGTAACAGAGAACACGGAAGCCCTTCTGGTTATATTTTACAAGACAGTTTTGAAAATGATACTATGAAAAGTTGTTCCTTGGTTTTCATCGCAAAGAATTAGGTGTAGGAAAATATCTGCAGATCACTGCTGGAATGAATACAGATGAATTTTTAAAAACTGAAGAACTCCTCATTCAGTTATTGCCAGTCTGGGGAATAAGCAGAAGTCCTCTGCTCACACAGCAGATGCTCGGTGCGATTCAGGCAAAACTGCTCTGTCCTTGTTTGTTAAAAAAGTTCAGAGCTCATCAGTCGTTAAACACTAAATTTCTAGTATTTAATTTACTTGTGTAAATCAAAATATCAAATAAGATATTTAAGAAAATCTACCAAATACAAAAGCAATGTGTTCTGATGACGGCCTTAACAGAATTCACTTAACAATCTCTAAAATAAAATAGCCCCAACTCCTTAAAAGGGGAAGAAAAAGTGTGGTTAGAAAGACTTTATTATTAATAATAATTGAAACTTTTTTCAATGCCTTTATTGATATACGTTACAAAATCCATCATTTAACATGCGAATGAGTATAATTAACTTTGGAGTTAAAAAAAAGGGTAACTTCAAAAGAGCACTACACATATTTACACAGACTTTCCACTTGTTCAAAATTGCATACGCTCTAGGGGAAAAAGACATGTAAGAGAATATACATTGTGGGATTTGTGAGGTTAATAAAACCCACAGTGGAGTTTATCATCACGCTATTTCTGACATCATTTTTCTTTCAATTTGGGTAAAGGTTGCTTTTCTCCCATGACTTTAAGCAAAGGAAAATAGAACAACTAATTTTTTTTTACAGAGATTTATTAATTTGCTTACAGTGTTTATGGTTTTGTTGTTTTAATGGAACTATCTTTAATTATATGGTATAATTAATATCATCTTGACAATCACCATACTCTATCTGCAGTCATCTTTAAAACTTTTATTCTGAAGAAATATTTTTGGCTATAACCTACATAACCTCTTTAATGTATTTTCTGACACATAAGAATTAGCAACTAAACATTTAGATAAAGGTGATTGGCCACTCAGGGAAACAGTTCATTCAGAGAAAATCAAAACATTTTGACTAATTTTTCCCACTGCATTAACCACCTTACTTCTTTATTTCTTTCATTTTACTTTTTTAAATGTAGAGACATTAAAATATTATGGATTATAGTTTAATAAATATGTGAGTTCGTAATACATAGTATAGTCCAACTGGACTTCTTAAGTCAAGTGGTGTGTGCACATTTGTGCAAGCAAGTATATGTGTGTGTCATTCCTCACGAGTTCATTCCTAGGAGGAGAATTCTACTTTGTCTTATTCTCAAGATAATATAGGGAGGCAACGACAAAACTGAAGGTAAAGAAATAAGCAGGGTGACAGCGAATGTGATTTTGCAGATGACCACAGCTTGTCTGCGCTGGATTGAGGCTAGGATAGCCTAGGTTGGATGCAGAGATGATTTTTACCTATTTGGTGGGAGAGGAAAAGAAAGGAAATGATGAATGTAGGTAAAAGGTAGGTAAGGGACAGTAAAGTGGCAGGGAATGAGACTGACAAGATGCTTTAAAAACAAAAACGAGGTTGGAGATTATGATACAATATTTCAATGAAATAGTCAACATAATTGTAAAAACTCTTTTTTAGTTTCAAGCTGAAATATTTTAATAAAACATTAAACTGATCATTTCTTCTTCCAAACTACTGTCTTTCAAAAACATTCTAGGACGTAGTAGCCAACTACGAAAATTGGACTCTTTTTATATTGCTCCTGAAATCTAAGATACGTCTTATAATAATGCAAAATAGTGGCAAAGTAACTATTTTAATATTTCCATATTGCAGTTTATTTTAAGGGTCATCATTTGCACTCTGATTTCACTAAACTAATAAAAGGCCTTATGCACCACCACCACCCTTGCCCAGTATCCACAACGGTTGGGGAAGACTTTGACCACATTGCATCACCTAACTCAGTTTGTTCAGAATTGCAGTTCTTGAATACACGTGCTGTCAAACGCTGCTAGAGTGGCCTATGTGTTCCCTCAGTGGTCTAGCCCTGCCGTGGAGAGTCAAACTGGAAAAACCTCTAAGTTCACTTGAGATATTTCCTGGATTGTGCGCAGATGTTTTCTTCTGAGGGTTACCGTTTTCCATTCACATATATTTGCTGCAACCTCTGCCTAATTTTGCATGGTTCTCAATTTCATTTAGAAAGTACACACTGGATACTTTCTGTGGTTAGAAATATTGCACTAAAAGTTGCAGAGGATTTAAAGAAATTGACATTAACATTTTATGGCCAAGGCCAAATAAATATAACTCAAAGTGAATATTGTAAGTGCACTTATAAAAGAGTTGTGTCCAGAAGAAGATATGGCTTCTTTCATGAAGGAGAGGGTAGTTTTCCTGAACTTTATCATTTCGATCTTTATGCTCCAATACAACAAACCACTTGTAGTCTGCATACTCTGTGCTGTTTCTCTCCTCTAAGCCTTGTCGTACCCTCTGCCTGACTTGATCTCCCCCCCTCCCACTGTGGACTAACTCCCTTTAACACTTCCCCTCTCCGAGGACACTTTTGTACTAGAACTGAAGTATTTTTCCCCTAGGCTTTTATCAAACTTTCTCTCTACCTTCACATCATTATAAAGTATCCTTTTGTTTGACTCCATTAGACTGAGAGCTAATTGAGGGAAGACACTCACAATTATTGCAATTTTCTTTTGCTATTTTTTGGTTTCTCCTAGTGCCTAAATTAATAGCAACAATTCTGAATTAATTTTTATCAAGGAAAATAGTGAGTTGGTGTGTGAGATGAACAAGATATGAGCAAAGACAAATGGAAAGGAAGGGTTTTTGCAGGAAAGAGCATATAATCTGCTTGAGTCTTTTCTTTACACAGGCATGGGAAGGCAGGTAAGGATGGAAATAAGAAATGGAGTGTACTGCCGAAGGACTTCACTGCGTCTCTGGTAGAGAGGTTGCATTTTGGTTGGTAGATAACAGGAAGCTCTAGAAGGGTTTCAAGTGAGAGATTTATGTGGGCTGAGTCCTGCTTTAAGAAGATGGACCCGGATATGGAGGACCAGCTGGGAAATAATTACCATGGTCTATCATTTTCTGGTCCCTCAAACTGTCAATCCTTCTTGTAGAGTTTGGTGATATGCTTCCTTGCCTTTTTTATAGATGGTCTATTTGTATTGATTGTTCAATACTCCAACATTCATTTTATAATATTACAAAATGTCAGTGTGTTTAAAGGCATTCATTTAATGTCAAGGAT